ATCAGAACTTACAAGATTAGTGATTCTGAATTCTACCATGTTACGTTTTATAGATACTATTATCAGTATTGTTATTATTATTATTATGAATACCATTATTCATTTCCGTTTGTATTTACCATCTGCATTTCTTAAACCTGTCTTCGGTTGTGTTAAAATGGTGGCAGCAGCAAAGAAAGATTTCAGGCTGTCTTTGAATATTCGATATCCATGTATAAGTTTGGCTGAAAATGTTGCTTTACTTTGTAATATTTACTTCATTTTTAAGTAAGTTGTATATATGTGTAAATAGTATATTTTCTCTTATGTGTAGTAATATGTACATGTGTCGAGAAATACCTTGTGCACTATTGTAAAAACTATTTGTAACCTAAAAATAAAAACCATGATAATTATTCGGTTTATTTATTAGCCGCATACATATTGTGTTCCACTTATCTTTAAAAATTATATTTGAAGAAAAAAATATAGACCCATAGAATGACAAGATAAAATTTGATTCCATTGCCTTCGAAAGAAAAGTTAACAAAGTTCGAAAATCGTGTTGGTAAATGCATAAAAAACGCATGGATGGACTATTTGTAATATAAAACTAAAGTACCTGTTACAAAATGGGAATTCACTGACCTAGATTAAGATGAAAATAAATAGACCGTGTATAATAAATGCACAGAGGAATATAAGTCATTTCTTTTAATGTGGAATCCGGTTCATGTTTTACGAAGTGCTTAGCAATCATGGAATTCTTATCCTATCAACTACGCTTTCAATGCTAATCATTTAAGATTCGTTCTCTAAAACTAATTCACTGGGACATGTATATTCAATATAAAACAGACTTATACGAATCGTGATTGTATTGGTAAATGGATGTTACAAATATATTTGATTCTCATTTGTTGTTATTAATGCGTATGAAAAATTTTCTTATATTTTGCACTTTTACCCATGTGAAGGTGTGAACAGAAGTTGCATTACACAGCACAGCTCTCTCCGGAACCTTTTTGTAAGCTCATGCACGAGGAAACAGCCCCTGAGTTCTGTTTGTGTTTTCTTGGAGGAAAGCTTGAGAATCACTTCTTGCCGAAGGAGCCCTTCCGAGTGAGCCCCTGGCAGACCACGTCGCTGTACCTCCCCGCCGCCGGCCCTCCCGCGATGCCCCGCGACGGCAGGTTCAGGGACCCGCTCTTGAGGCGCAGGAGGTTCCACTGCGCGAAAATCGGCCTCTGGTTCTGCGGGTTCTCCGAGGACGGACTGCGCTGGTCCCCGTCCTCGCTGTAGCTGGAGTAGATGCTCAGGGAATCCACGAAGTTCTCGCAGATGACGTCGTCGTCCTTGCGGGGGGCGTCGCTGGCGTCGTCCTTGTCCCCGACCTCGTTCGGGAAGTAGGTGTTGGAGCGGAGGGACCGCCAGCGCGGCACCGTCCAGATCGGGCTGGCGGACCGGTTCACGGAGTCCGCCCTCGAGAACCCGCCGCCGTCGGGGTCCTCGTCCCTCTCCTCCTCCTCGAAGGCCTGGTTGTTGAAGCCCTTCCTGTCCTCCATCTTCTCCTTGAAGATGATGTTGTCGAGGACTTGCTTCGACGAGAGGTGCGGCCTCCTCCTGCAGGGCGCTCGGTCGCGTGCCCTCCCCAAGGACGCCCAGAAGCTCGAGGTCCTCAGCCGATGCAGCAGGTGACTCGGACTCATGCCCGCGGGAAGACTCGGCGCCGGAAGTCCCCCTCGCTCCAGCCGCTCCACCCACGCCTCCAGCCGCTCCTGGACCAGCCGCCGGCGCTTGGTGCTCCGGATGAAGGTGATGAAGATGAACACGCCTTGGAAAGTGTTCAGCGTGTCTGTCACTGCCCTGAAAACCAAGAAATATGTATATCTTAAAAAACTATTATATCTCTGCCATTTTACTTACACCTTATAATCCACCAGAAATTTTACAAGAAGACATTTGATCATTCCTCAAGAAGTACACAATCACAATCATTTCCTAACTCCACAATCAGTAGACATGATTCTCCACGTTTAACCAATCCCCCGTAAGCTTTCTTAGCTGTATCTTGAGCTGACACCTTTGGTGGATCCGACTTTTTCAGTGTGGCTTATATATATCTTAATATAAATAATAATAATAATAATAATAATAAGAGAAACAACAGATATTTTCTTCACTTTTCTCACCATAATTCCGAATCCCCCGAACCCACAATGGACGATATTACTTCCGTCAACCAGCAGCTCGCCATGATTGCGAAGAGACCGAATCTTTGCCAGAATCTGCAAGAAAAAAGGTTTCTGATGATGGACTGAAGCGGAATAATTGGTCGTATTTAATAGTAACATAACCGGTTATCTTTTGCTTTAAAATCATCCCGAAATAGAAGAGAAAAATCAATTAGATACTGGAAGTGGCAGAAGTAGTAATAGTAATAGATATAACTGTTGTAGTATCAGTAGTAGCTGTAGTAATAACAGGTGCAGTAGTTGTAGTTCTTTCAGAAGTAATGGTTGTTTCGGCAACAGCAGCAGCAAAAATATGTAAGTATGATAGACGAATAAATACTAGAAAAATGAATACCACAGATTCCTCTACACCAGCGGTTCCCAAACCATCTAACGCCACGCCCCCTTTTTTGCTTCCGGCAGATCCCACCCCTTTTGCTTTTATATGAAATTAAATCATTTTTTTATTTATATTTTAACATAGGAAAACCAAGACTTTTGCTTGGATTCAAAGGAATGAAACATATTATACATGTACGAGGCGTTTGACAAAGTAACTGAAATTACTTCGATTCAAATTAAGCAAAATCATCAAAATGAACTTGTGGTTCCAAGAACTAAACAATTTAAAAGCATGGCATATAATATTTGGAAATACTCATGAGACTACAACAAACCTAATGAACATACAAACCTAGTGGACCAATAATCCCATGATGTGCAAACTATCATAAACTAGATATAGAAATATATAGACATGACTCTTATATAACATTTCCAGTTCTCGTAATAATGAAACGTAAAGATAGTTCCACAAAATACCTAATTATGACGCATGAAGGCATCACCCACGCATAATACATCGAGTTCTCATAATACTGAAATGTAGACACTTTTTGAGCAGATTTCTATCCCCCCTTGTACCCCCCTCACGCCCCCCTGGATAGTTTGGGAACCACTGCTCTTCACAAACAGGCTAACCACCAATTACTCTCTCTCTCTCTCTCATTCTCTCTCCCTCCCTCTCCCTCTCCCTCTCTTCCTCTCCCTCACCTCTCTCTCCCTCCCTCCCTCCCTCCCTCCCTCCCTCCTCCTCCTCCCTCCCTCCCTCCCTCCCTCCTCTCCTCCTCCCTCTCCCTCTCCCTCTCCCTCTCCCTCTCCTCTCTCCTCTCCTCTCCCTCCCTCTCCCTCTCCCTCTCCCTCTCCCTCTCTCCTCTCCCTCTCCCTCTCCCTCTCCCTCTCCCTCTCCCTCTCTCCCTCCTCCCTCTCTCTCCTTCTCCCTCCCCCTCACTCACTCATTGAGGTGCTGTCGGTCGAACGTGTGGTTCGTCTGCCCACAGCTCCCGAAGAAGCAGTGGCACCTGTTGTTGGCACAGTAGAGGACCAGGCCAGTGTGGAGTATGAGGAGTGTGTTGACGATGCACAGGATGCCCATTGGCCCGTAGAAGTAGGCGAGGATCTCCACGCCGTCTGGGAAGGAGGGGTCATGAAGGTTATTTTAAGGTATGTGGATTCTCAGATTTGATTTTAAAGGTTTTTCAAGGTGTGTTTTTTTAAGGTATGGTAAGGTATGTGGGGTTTCTAAGATTTGGTTTTAAAGGGAAATTTAAGGTGGGATTCTAAAATTTGTTTTTTTTATGATTAACAAGGTATGTGGGATTCTAAGATTTGTCTTTTTATGATTAACTTTTTTGATTTTTTTTTTGTTTATTTTCTTAAGGTATGGTGGTATGTGGGATTCTAAGATTTGTTTTTTTATGATTATCTTTTTTTTTCTTTAACTGATGGTGGGTAAAGTTGATTTTTTAAGGGTTGGCTGTATGTGTAATTTCAAGATTTTTTTTTTCTTTTCTTATTACTGGTTGATGTGTTATGATGAATATTATCGATTAATCTAAAGAGGAATTTCTATACCATAGCTTATCTGGCTTGCTCTCTCGGCTCAATTTAAGGGGTTTTGGGGGTAATATAAGGCTATAGGAGACAATACATGATAAGATAATAATGGTAGTGATGGTGATAGTAATGGAGATAATAGCGACGACACTGATGATGATAATGATATTGATAATCAAAATGAATATAGTAAGAACAATAATAACAAAACAGAAAACGGTTATGATTACGATGATGATATTGACAATGATAACGATGACGAATGAAATAATAATAAATAACAAAACATAAAAAAATGATATTGACAATGATAACGATGACGAATGAAATAATAACAATAAAAAATAACAAAACAAAAAATGAAGATGTTGACAATGATAACGATGACGAATGAAATAATAACAATAAAAAATAACAAAACAAAAAATGAAGATGTTGACAATGATAACGATGACGAATGAAATAATAACAATAATAAATAACAAAACATCAAAAATGATGATGTTGACAATGATAACGATGACGAATGAAATAATAACAATAAAAATAACAAATAAAAAAATATATTGACAATGATAACGATGACGAATAAAATAACAACAACAACAATAAAAACAAAACACAAAAAATAGATAGATTTTCGGACCTCTGAACCAGCATCTATTCGCCACAAAATTGGGCTTTAAGTATCCGTTCTTATCTTCAGGCAGAAGCTGCATGACGGCGGCCGCTATGCCCATGACCAGAGGGCATCCCCAGGCATACACTGAGCGGACCAAGAACCGGGTCATGTCATCTTGTGTCCTGTGTAGAGGGACGCCCTGGACCGATAGTCTGGAAGGAAAAAAAGAAATGAAAAAGAAAAAAATGGAAAAAACAAGTGAAGATCGCTGGTATGTTATGTTTCGTTTTGTTTTTCGTTTTTTTTTTTTTTTTTTTTTGGTTTTGTCTGTATCTTTTTTTTTTTTTTTTTTTTTTGTTTTTCTTTATTCGTCTCTGTCTCTGTCGGTTCGTGTCTGTCTCTGTCTCTCTCTCTGTCTCTCTCTCTCTCTCTCTCTCTCTCTCTCTCTCTCTCTCTCTCTCTCTCTCTCTCTCTCTCTCTTCTCTCTCTCTCTCTCTCCTCCCTCTCTCTCTCTCTCTTTCTTTCTCTCTCTGAAAATAACTATAGAAAAAATATGATTTTTTTTTTGAAAATAACGGTCAACCTAACGGAGAGAAAACAAATGTGAGAATAACCAGAACAAAAACTTTAATACAAGTGAAAATAACCAGAAAATATGAAAAAAAATTTATGAAAAAATGAATATGAAAATAACCAATCAAAATGACAATCAGAAAAATGACAAACACTCACCTGACATAAGTCCACACATCATAGCAGATCACGTTGAGCCAGAAGAACGTGGAGAGGAAAGCCACGTGCAGTAACAAGGCTGAAAGGGACCACGTGTCACTTGGATATTCGAAAGTTAAAAGATTACGGTGTATTTTTCACTGTTTTTGGTTTGTTGTGAAATGAATTTTAGTTTTTTGTGAATTTTTTTTTCTGTTTGTGAATGATTTTTTTGTTTTATTGTGAAATAAACTTTTTTGTTGTGAAATGATTTCTTTGGTTTTGTTGAGAAATGATTTTTTGATTTATTGTGGAATGAAATTTTGGTTTATTGGGAAACGAATATTTGTTTTATTGTGAAATTATTTTTTTGTTTTATTGTGAAATGATTTTTTTGTTTTATTGTGAAATTAATTTTTGTTTTGTTGAGAAATTATTTTTTTGTAAATTATGAAATGTTTTGTTTTATTGGGAAACAAATTTTTGTTGTGAAATGAATCTGGGAAATTATTATTTTTTTATGTTTTATTGGGATTTGATTTCCTTTTTAATTATGAAATGAATGTATGTAGATGACGATATGATACCGTTGTCTCCAGTATTGTCCAATGACAACATCACACATATATCAAAAAGTACATACATATATTTAAAAAACGACCAAAATGAGAGTATGTATGTCCAAAGATGGATCTCAGACCAACTGCACTGATTAAATATTTTGTTAAATTAATCTTTCGTTGAATTAATCTTTCATGAATTAATCTTTCATGAATTAATCTTTCATGTTGAAATAATCATCTTTCACCTATAAACATCGAGATATTCACTTTATCGCACAATAAACATGAAATAGAACACATGAACGTGAATATATAGATGTTCATGTCACAGATGAACGTAACATTTAATTAACAACTTAAGGGAAATGGTCTGTGAACAAACCTTGGATGCGCATACTTTCAAACACCGTAAGATAAGATAAGAAAGAAAAGAAGAAAAAAAGGAAAAATAGGAAAGAAGAAAAAAGAAGAAAGAAAGAAAAAAGAAAAAAAAAAAGGAAGATAAAAGAAAAATAAAGAGAGAAAAAAAAGAAAGAAAGAAAATAAGAAAGGAAGATAAAAAGAACAAAAAGAAAAAAGAAAACGGAAACGCAAAAGAGAAAACGAAAAAAACAAGAAAACAAAGAAAACAAGAAAAACACAAACGCCACCGAAACCGCCCACCGAGGGAAACACACGACACCGGCGCCAGGAACTGCGAGAAGGCCTGCGTGGTGAAGAGCGCCGAGTCAGCCACGAGCAGGGACGCCACGTACGCCGCCAGGTACAGCCCCCGGAGGTCCCTGAGAGCCGGCAGGCACAGGTGGCACAGCAGCGTCGCCGCCAGGAACACGCAGGACACCACCAGGCCGAGGGGGATCAGCACCCGCCGGACGACCTGCAGGGGAGGTTGCAAGGCGCTGAGAATGATGATGATGATGATAATGGTCTGTAGATTTTTCCATCTCTCTTTCTCTCTATCGTTTTTTTTTTCTCTCTCTCTATCGTTTTTTCTCGCTCGCTCGTCTCTCTCTCTCTCTCTCTCTCTTCTCTCTCTCTCTCTCTCTCTCTCTCTCTCTCTCTCTCTCTCTCTCTCTCTCTCTCCTCTCTCCTCTCTCTCTCTCTCCTCTCTCTCTCTCTCTTCTCTCTCTCTCTCTCTCTCTCTCTCTCTCCTCTCTCTCTCTCTCTCTCTCTCTCTCTCTCTCTCTCTTTCACACACACACACCCGGCGAACGACCTGCATGGGCGATTACATAACACTAATGATAATAATAATTATAATCTGTAGATTTTTCCCTTTTTCTTTCTCCCCCCCCCTTTCCTTTTTTTTTATTCTTATTTTTTCTTTTTTTTTTTCTCAAGACGAGGAAGACTCCCCTCCCTTCCCTTCCAATCTTCCACCTCAAATTTCATCTAATCAAAGTCTTAGGATGATTAACATTCGTGTACTCAAATTGTATCTATTCAAAGGCTAAATAGGATTAAGATTCGAGCATTCAGCTTGAAAGTGTGCAAAAGCAAAGTGTGATAATCATGCTTTCAAATCGAACATGTTCAAAGGCTATATGTGGTACAGAACCGTCTCGGTCTGCTAATAACTTCCTCGTCAACAAATCTACAACGAAACAGTCTTACCGTCCACGTTGACTCGTCGGCCGCAGGGTGGTGCGGACACACGACCACAGCCAGGGTCGTCGTGACGATATTCCGACTGTCTTGAAGGTCGAGGAGCTCATCCACGCAGTAGTCTAGAGACGTGTCAGTGACATTGACGTCGTCGCCGTAAAATTCGAAGACGTCCTTCGTGTTTGACGAATTTCCCGTGATGACGTCGGGACTGTCGCACTTGGGGAACCTGACGTAGGCGTCTGTCCCTCGCAACAGGCCCCTCTTGAGACTCCGGCTGACGAGCGACGGGCCGACGGACGAGGCGAGGGCGTCGTAGCAGACACAGTACTCCTTCTGCAGGAGGTAGCCTTCGGGGCAGCACTTCGCATGGCACACGCCGGCGCGACAGTGCTCTGGGTGGCGCGACGACTCCACGGGAGAGCAGATTAAGACCCGGTACTGAAGGTCGTACGAACGTGCCGGCCCCTCCACGCAGAAGTCGGTGACGAAGATCATGTTCCAGTGGAGTAGCAATTTGTTTTGAGTATATATTATCTTGTTATCTCTATCTAATCTGACTTTCGTCGCATTCTTATTCGAACAAAAATCAGTAGCCACTTCGAATACTACGGGGCGCTCCTCGGGCTCGCTGCAGTGGCTGAGGGCGACGGGTAACGAGTAAAAGGACTGCTGTGGTGGCCGCTGGCATGGCACGGTCTCCTCGGCGTCCGCGCAGCATAAAGGAACTCTAAGTAGGTCTCCGTTACTGACACTTGGCGCGGTCGAGGTTGTCGAGGGCTCCTTTGTCTCCGGAGTCGTCGGCTGGGGCTTCTCCGAGGGGCCTGTGGGAATCTCAGACGACGAGGTCTCTGCGTCTGTGGAATCTAGCGTCGTGACGTCTGCTGCGGTCACAGAAAGGGGTCCTGTGGTATCACTCACAAAGGTCGGTGTTCCTTCTTCGTCTGCTGCGGCGCCTGATTCCGAAGATCTGTTGATATATTCCTTCTTCATGTCGGACCACGCCTTCTCGCTCTCCGGAGACGTGTCGGAGAACAAGGGCTTCGGGAGAGGACCGATAATAATGGGTTTCAATTTCTCCTTCAGCAAGGATTCTACTCCCGTTTTGGACGCCGCGTAGGAAAATTCCTCCGCTGGGTGGTTCCCTGGATTATCTGACTCATAATCTCCCTTATCTCTGGGCGTTGGGAGGGCCGTGGAATCTCCCGAGACCGACAACTCGTCCCTATCTCTCGAAACTGATTTATTTTCCTCGGGTGATTCGGATTCATGTATGTCGACGTGTGTTTGTGTTCGGTTGGTTGTCCCTTCCTCGCCAGGTCTTTGCGGAAGGTCGAGGGCTTCTCCCTGGACGCTGTCGGTGGCCGAGACATGGCTGGCTGGCACTTCTCGAGCTCTGGCACTCTTCAGGACAACCGTCGAGAGAGCCACTATCAATAGCACTCGTATACGGCCGATGTTTACCATTTTGTCCGCAACAGCAGCGAAATTTCTCTCATGGTAAACACATCCTTCGCCTGCTGTCTCTAAACAGAATATTAATGGGAGAATAAAATTATCTTTGTACAGGTTTATGATGTAGATTATTATCCGCTTGCATTCATTTAATCAAATTCAATGGCATTGATGATGTTTATAGCTACCGTTTGACAGTATATGAAATGAATACTAAAACGTGGCGACAGTGTTGTTGAAAAGCGGGAAATATTATGAGAATACACATTATACATATTACAAGGCTACACACACGGGCTCGTGTAATAGGGGCTACCTGCCTATTATAAATATTTTTTCTATAAATCAAATGCGAAATATATTGCAAATAATTATATAAAGAAAAACCACATTATAAAAAAAAAAATCATTATCAACCTACTCTTTTCTAGTGATCCTGACCCTGGTAAAGTATTACGATAATACTACATGGATCTGATGAATAAAAGATGGTGTTTTCAGAGCCAGTTTCAGGTGTTATAAATATCCCACGGGACGCTACAACGGATGAAAATAACAACAACAATCAAATTAATGTCCATCCATTGACACGTTGGGAATAAAAATAAATTAATAAAAAAGATAGAATTCATTGACGTTAGAAATAGAAATTTAAAAAAATGAAATTTTAAATAGAAATTCATTACGTTAGAAACAAATGAATAAATGAAAAAAATAGAATTCATCGACACATTAGAAACAGAAATAAATGAATAAATAAAAATAGAATTAAATTGACACGCTAGAAATAGAAATAAATAAATTGAATAAAAAATAGTAAATATAATTAATTGACGTTAGAGATAGAAATAAATGAATTAAAAAAAATAGAATTCAGTGACACGATAGAAATATAAATAAAATGGAAAAAACATAGAATTCATTGACTTTACAAATAGAAAAATCAAAAAAAAAAAAAAAAAAAAATTCATTGACACCAGAAAATAAAGAATAAATAAAAAAAAACAGAAAGAAAAAATTAAATAAAATACTCCTGCACTGCAATAGAAGGGCATCGCTTCCCCGTCGCCGAGAGCCAGGCACAGTGCCAACCAGCGTCGACACAGAGCACGTTACAGCGAGGCGAGTGGGTGTGGGGGGGAGGGGGGGGGGGGAGTTCCGGCGGAAATGGCCATTATCAAAGAACAATAGCGACACGGCGATACGCCCTCAATAAGGCCTACTTTCCCGTGACACCTGCCGGGATGGGGCGTTAATGAGCTTGGAATATTCGCAAACTCTTCGGGGGGGGGGGGGGGGGGGGGGGGGCTTTCCCGGTGTCTGCAGATGGGGGTGTGCATGTGTGTGCTTTTGCGTGTGTGTGTGTGTTTTTGCCTGTGTGTGTGTGTGTGTGTGTTGTGTGTGTGTGTGTTGTGTGTATATATATATATATATATATATATATATATATATATATATATATGAGAGAGAGAGAGAGAGAGAGAGAGAGAGAGAGAGAAAGAGAGAGAAAGAGAAAGAGAAAGAGAGAGAGAGAGGAGAGAGAGAGAGAGAGAGAGAGAGAGAGAGAGAGAGAGAGAGAGGAGAGAGAGAGAGAGAGAGAGAGAGAGAGAGAGAGAGAGAGAGAGAGAGAGAGAGGAGAGGGTAGGAAAGAAAGAGAGAGTGGCTTCGTTTTGATCCGTGTTGAGAAATATTACATTTTCAAAAAAATGCATTTTATAATACGAATTAAGTAATCAAAAGGTCGTGATTTAAAATAAGCTTTCGTTTATGATCGTGATGAATTTATATATAACAGATCTTTTTCAGAAAAAGAACATGAAGTACAAAGAAGTATATACAAGACTTTCATAATAAAACGGTACAAATTACAAGGAAATATAACACAACACTCTTAAAAGATAAAAAAAAAAAAAAAAAAACAAGGACGACGATGATAAAAATAGGAAGAGCAAATATTCACCGTCACTGACCCCCCACCCCCCACCCTCCCTCCCCTGGGTGCATCGAGCCCCCCACCCCACCCACCCCACCCACCCAGGGGGAAATTAACCAAGGTATTTCTCTCGCCCGATTGCAATTGCAGAATTCCTTTTAACGGAAACGGGATTGCGTTGAATATGGCCAGTCAGACTATGAAAATGTTCTCGAAAGCAAGAAGTTGTGTTGTTGATTATGTTTTTGTTGTGAGGTGTGAGGGGGTGAGTGTGTGTGGGGGGGTGGTTAGGTGTGTGTGGGGGTGATGTGTGTGTGTGTGTGTGTGTGTGTGTGTGTGTGTGTGTGTGTGTGTGTGTGTGTGTGTGTGTGTGTGTGGTGTGTGTGTGTGTATACGTAAGAATTTCAGCTATAGACTTGCCACGAAGGGAAACGTAATCTTAAGATGAAAATGATGACTAATGCTATGATGAACATCTTCATTGGATACATTTTAAAGACAATAAGACGTTTTCATCTTTCAAGTCCAGTTCCAGTTTCTTGATTTTAAGAAAGTTCTTCTCGACACATCGTTAGGTCTTCAGTACTGGTTGTCCATTTTTTGGCATAAGAAATTGCACACGTTTCAAAGACAATTACACTTGTTCTTACGGCAAGAACTGGACCACGAATGTGTCGTGTCAAGAAGAACCTTCTTAAAATCAAAAAATTGGAACTGGGCTTTAAATTTTAGGTTTTGTTCTTTGCAATACTGAAGATGTATTGTGAAATGTTATGTGTGTGTGTTGTGGTGTGTGTGTGTGTGTGTGTGTGTGTGTGTGTGTGTGTGTGTGTGTGTGTGTGTGTGTGTGTGTGTATGTACATACATACATACACAATCATATATATGTATGTATGTATCTATAAATGCACATTAACACACGTAGGTTTGTATACAGACAGAAAATTTTTCTAATCTTTTTCATTCTTTCGTGAAAGACAGAAATTATGATCTTACCTTTATCTAAACACAATTAACCAATTTCGTAAAAAGATTTAAAAAAAAAAACTCAAGAGATAACTTTCCATACGGACACCACCAAAACATCGAGAAACAAGGTTTGACGATGAAACCAGGAAAAAAACGACAAGATACATTTTCAAAAATTTATCCATCCTATAGCACGTTCACTTTCAGTTCCATCTCAGTTCCAACGTCAAAATATCTACTAACATGAATCATACGTATATTCACACAGTATATCTGAATACATGTATATAAATCCTTTATTTCCCCCACTCCGACACTCACTGAAACTCCCCCCAACAAGTCACTTCGATAACTGATCTCATCCTCTCACGTGACTAGTATTTAGAGGTCATTTTCCTGTTGCCTGTTAGCTATTTAAAATCATTATCTGCTTACTTAATTGCGTTTTTTTTCTTCTTCTTTTTTTGAAATAGTATAACATTGATGATGGAATGGCATATAATTCTTATGTTGCTTTGTTTTTTCTGGAATGA